AAAATCTCTTTCCAAAAACCAATCTGTTGCCTCAATACCAACCAACAAATACATCGTTGGACAACAACAAATACATTTTTAAAACCATTTTCCAAACATCATGTTCCAAACCAACATGATAGTAAATAAATGGGTAAATCTCTAGAACAAGTACAACCTTTCCTGGAAATTTTGTTTGGAGGAAACCATAAGCTGAGGCCCATATAAACGTAGGCTGGACAAGCACTACTGTTGCCATTTCACAGAAATTTCGTCTCAAGGATCGACACCCATGTATACGCGCGATTTTTGGGACTTTCACCCTAGACACACAGGCCAATTTATTTGATGTAACAATAACTTTCTCCCAAATTCACCATTTTATTTACCCCTTTCAATAGTACAGTACATGTAGCTTAAAATATTGTTTTTCCAAAACAATACAAATGTTCCAGAACATAATGTAAGACTTTCCAAAACCTCTTTTCAAAACGTACAATTTCAATTTTCAAAATCCATTACATGCTTCATGATATGAATGATTTCAAATTGTCTGATCCACATGCAATTTCTAACACACAGTAATGCTATCCTCCACCGATAGCCAAAACAGTTATCTCTAATGCAATATTCAAAAGATAACAATATAGATATATTTTCCAAAAGAGTAACAACAATCATTTTCAAAATCCCACAACCATTTTCTTCCCATCTCTTACAAAACTAAGATCATTTTTCATTGTTTTCCAACACAAGCTAAAACCCATGGTTTTAGAACAAAACCTAATTTTCTTTCAAAATCACTTTATGTAAAGGAAAGCCACCATGTCAACATATCTTTATCACCAATACAAAATCATGACCTTCTCTAAGAACTCATTTGAAAAATCTCTCTTTTTCATGTCAAATCCAAACCCCTAAGTTTAGCTCAAAACACCCAAATTCATAGATCTTTTGAAATAACACACAATAAGGGTAAAAATAATACGAAATGATTACCAAATATACATAACAAAATACGCCACAAATATGCTACCGAACTCATATTGAGTTTAGAAAATAGACCCTATCTCTTGAAGCGAAGAGGAGAACTCCGAAAAACTCAAAGTCGATGAAACCACGAAACTCTTGGATCAAAAGATAGCCCTTGATGAGATCTACAACCTTTATCAAAGGACCAAGGTGAAAAGATGCCTCTAACCAAGTAGATCTATATAAGAAAGTTAGGTTTCTAAGAGAGAGGGATTCACGGTTTAAAGGGGGAAGAGAGAGAGAGAAAAAGAAAAAGTAAATGAGAAAAGTGTGTTTGGGGTCTATTTATAGTGGTAGAATAATAGCTTTAAGGTCAAAGGAAAGAATAAGTCGAACCCTCAAAAGTAGAGCCCCAAAATCGAACCAAAAACTTGAAATTTTACTCACAGGGGTCGATCCTTAGAAAGAAAAGCTGAGACACTTATGTGTGTAGAGGACAAGGGTCGACCCTTGGAACCAATGGTGTCGACCCTTTTATTTCATAATGCACCAAGAACAAATCAGCAAAGGAAGAGTCGACCCTTAGAGCCCTGGTGTCGACCCTAAAAACCGGCAAAGACACTAAGAGTAAGGCAATAAAGTGGTGTCGACCCCCAAAAAGGCAAGTGTCGACCCCAGAACAAATTTTCCAAGTTTCCAAAGAACTTTTCAACGTAAACAAGCATGAACGAACAATCCTAACAAGTTTAAATCAAATTGTACTCTTCCAAAACCAAAATACAACAACTGCAAAGACATCCAAAATGAGAATAAAAGAATTAAATACACTCTCTAATAGTTTAAAGGACACAAGTAGGCCTGTCAACGGGTCGGATTCGAGTCGGATCAGTCAGAATCCGATCCGATCCGATTAACCATTAATCCGGATCCGAATCCGAATATTAGAAATCCGATTACGTGTAATCCGATCTGATCTGATTTTTTTTTTCCTTTTTTTTTCCTCTCTCCTTCCTCCTCTCCTCTCTCTCTGTGGTTAGCAACCATAGCCACCGCCAATGGTGGTTTTGAAGAACTTGGCATTGGAGGACTATGAAATCAGAGACCATAAAAGTGTTGAGATTGCTTGTGAGTAAACCCCAGTTGGATCTGATAGTTCTTGCTTTGCACAGCCCTTGTAGACCAAGGTTGAGTAATCACATATAGATTCAGACAGTGGGATAAGATCAAGATTGAAATGGAAGATTAGGATAAGACAGAGGAGGCAACAGGGTTTTGTGGATAATACACCCATTGATAGATAAAGTCAATAAAATACCAATTATATAAAAAAGCATTGTTTGTAACATCAAATTTTGAATACTTCGACTACTCATAAGATTATACAAGAGTATTTTTATTTTTTTTATAGTATCTAACACATTCAATGCTTTTTCTGGAAAAATAAAATAAAATAAAATGGACAGAACATAATAAGGGGGCATGTATACAAAAAGCAAAAAGATCAATCCCTCATCTGAGTAGAGCTAAAAAACCTAAAACAAAAAAGCAACTATAGATCAAAATAACATTAACAGGAACACAAATGGACATAAATTCCCTAAGTTGGCCTAAAGCTAAAACAAAAAAAACTAAACCCTTAATCATCCCAAAGATGCAAGCATCCATAAAGCTAGCACCAACCTACATAGAGAAAACAACACAAACCATGAAAGAAAAGCAGTAAAAAAAAAAAACAACCTTGGAACACTAATAAATGTATATAATTGGAATTGACATATATCTTAAAGAGTATGTAATGTAATGTAATTCTCATGGCATATCCTAAGAGATAATGGCAGAAACTCTACTACCCAAGGCAATAGGATATGAAAGCCTCTCTTCAAATGCAAGATTCTCCTAATGATTAAAAGGAGCCTGAACTGCGCAATTTTGAAGTTGGGTTTATTTGCGATGATTAACCGTTGGAATTTACAAACATTTTAAAAGAGTTTGCCGCAAATCATCATAATCGTCACAACCACACACAACACAATGAATACCTACCTACCTAGACAAAGATAACTAACTACTTTCATTGTAAAAAATTCCCAAAATAACAAATAGAACGCATTAATTAATAAATCAAGAATGAAACTAAATCATTAAGTATCTAACTTATAAAAAAATGCACCTAATATTTTTTTATCTAACTCATTCAAAGTTAAATCATGAAACTTAATATTTTTTCCGCTATCTAGCGCATCAATGCTAAACCATGGCAACCATAGACAAAAATAAAATAGCTATAATAGTTGACAATTGGAATTTGTGCTGTAGAACAGCACAGGGAATCAATAATTATCGAGGAAGATGCATGATAAAGTATGTTTTATAGTAGTAAATAGTCAAATTTAGCATATAAGGAAGTTTAAAAATGAAAGACAACTTTTAGCTGGATACGAACATTGAGATTACGACACATCAGATTTATTAGCATTTTATGACAAATAAAGACTCAGATTTGTCCATTCAATTGAAGTTAATAACTAGAATTTTAACTACTTCCCTTTATCTTCACATCTCACAAATTCAAGAAATAATTTGTACAAAATTTTATTCATTATTGATAGAAAGTTACAACTAAAAGTTGTGTTTCCTATATTTAACAAATAGCAGGTGGGTGAATGATTTAAGTCAAGTTGAGTTCTCATATATGCTGGTCATTTCCCCTTATATATTGATGATTGTCATTAAGTAAGATTAATATACCTTTGCTTGGTTACATTTTTTCAAAAACACTTTCAGAAAATTCTACTTTCCTGTTTTTCGTATTTTTTTGTTTTTATTGAATTTTTTTAATATTTTAAGCAAATTTTTTTTTTACTTTTTAGACATATCTAACATAAATATACCTAAAAAATAAAAAATTGTGAAAAAAACCTTTTAAAAATTCACTAAATACCAAAAATATATAAAAAAAAATACGAGAATTCAGTACCTTTTTTTATATTTTTATGTATTTATTAATTTTTTAAAATATTTTTTTACAAATTTTTACTTTTTAGATACATCTAAGTAAGGTGCATCTAAAAAAATTTAAAAAATGTTTAAAATTTTTAAAATATTCACTAAAAACAAAAAAATACGAAAACCAAAAAACTTAATTTTCAAAAAACTTAATCCAAAAAACTCAAACCAAGCACACTGATAGTATTGAAACATCATTATTAATTCATGCACGCAAGTAGGTGCATGAGCTTCAATGCTTAGTCTAGATAATTTGGGTAAAATAGCTTGTCATATAGAACTATGGAGTTAATCAAAACCCACATACAGATATGATTCAATGAAAAAACCTAGATTGTAAAGGGCAGAGATGAGAAATATGCTGACCCATATTTGACAGTGACAAGGCTGCAGCGTAAGATAACTTAAGATAACTTCTCCTAACAAAAAACAAAAGTTCAGCTTAAGATAATAAAAAACAATGAAAATGACAAACCAAGTGATTCAATTCAATCCATCTACTCATGTTAGCATTCGTCTACATCTGCAATTTCAAAATAATGTCACATTAAAATATTTATAGAACTAAACTAAAGAACATCTAATTATTTAAAATCTTCAATATTTCACTTACTTCTATTTTTGGTTGATTCAATCCAATCATTGCAAGTTCCACAATATCTGGAAGTAATGAAGCATGTGTCTCATCAATCATCCTACCTCCTACACTAAATGCTGCCTCCAATGCAACCGTAGTAGCTGGAACACTTAAAACATCACGAGCCATCCTTGCCAAAGTAGGAAATTTTGCTTTATTCACTTTCCACCAATGTGGAATATTGAAGCTCTCATTACTTAGAAACACCAACTCCTCCAAGTATTGCTCCACCTCTGATTTTTGATGGGCATGAACGTTAGAAGCACGTTCTTGGGCATATCATGCATGAAAAGTAGCCAAACTTTCTTGTTTCGAAGAACCGACAAGCAATTGACTACCACTTTAGCTACTATTTTCAGAAACAAGTGCAATGCTACTCATAGAATTAGAAGAATCACTCCTATACTCATAAAAAAAGATCAACAAAACCATTACGAACCCTCTGAATATACTTATTAGCATCAGCACCATAAATAAGCCCAAAGTAGTATTCCACCAAGTCCATTTTAAATCTCGAATCAAGAACCACTGCAATTGCTAACACCAAAGAACATTCTTCCCAATATTTTTGAAATTTCACTCTCATTGGACTAGCCATCAATCGAATGCAATCATACTCACTTTGCTCCCATTTTTTCATTTCAAGTTGAATTAGACAAATATCGGGAAAAAACACATTTGAAGTAGGAAAAGTGGTACCACTAAAGTGAGATGTAGCATCAAAAAAAATCTTCAAGCACCCACAAATCACATTTGCTACATTCCACTCATCCTCAGAAGGATTGTGCATATATTGTTTGTCAATTTGCCTTAAGCGGTGGAATGCACTTTTCAAATCTAATGCAGCATCAAGCATTGAATAAGTGGAGTTCCATCTGGTAGGAACATCCATGGGAACTTTCTTTTTATGATGTAACTTAACGTGATTCACTGCAACATCAAATTTTTGTTTTCCATAAGAAGACCTCCCTAAATATCTCACACTTTCTCAAATTTTTGAAATAAGACTCCCAATCACCTTCAAACCATCCTGAACAACTAAATTCAATATGTGCATGCTACAACGCACATGAAACAATTGTCCACCCAAATGAAGTAATCCTTGGTCATGTAGCCATCGTTTTAAGAGTCTCACCATGACATCATTACTCATTGCATTATCGACTACCATTGAAAACAACTTCTTATCTATGTTCCACTCTAAAATTAGATCTTTGATAAAGCTAAACAAATGGTCTCCATCATGCGGGTAATCAATGCGTCTATAAGCAAGGATTTTCTTCTTTAGCTCCCAATTATTAGTCACATAATGGGCAGTCAAACATGTATAGGCAAAATTCTGATGGTCTGAAGTCCATATATCAGTTGTCAAGGTGATCTTAGAAGAGAGTTCATCCAAAAATTAATATAACTTGGCATTTTCTATTTCATAAACATCAAGGACATCCGCCCTAACAGGGTTACGAGATACAAGTTTGAACATTGGTTGAAGATTATTGCAAAATATTTCATAAAATTCGTGCTCAGCCATGTTAAAAGGATAATTATGCTTGATTACCATCCTAGAAAAATCCATACGACTTCTCTCTTGATTGAATTTAAAAGTTGCAGCCTTAGGAGTAGATTCAGAAGCAGCCTTATTAGCATTCCTAGGGGCATTTGGCCATTTAAGTACTGGACATGCCTTCGACAAATGATTTTTTAAATGACTAGTCCCTTTCCTACTCTCTCCAACAAATTCCCTATTGCAATGCTTACATCTGGCTATGTCATTTCCATTACATCCTTTAAATTTGACAAAGTCATCCCATACCTTTGAAGTTAGTTTTCGAATCCTCTTTGTGGGTCCTTGAGATACATTGTCATCCAACTCGGCATCATCAGGAATAATAGGTTCACTATAATCCGAAGACATCTTTGGCTCAAAGACTCAAATATGCACTGCACAAGAAATCAAACATAAAGGAGCCGGAGTTAGCAAGATAATTATGCAGCAAACAGAACTGCAAGCAAGCACAAAACAGTGTGCACCAAACACTTCAATTTGGAAATTATATAGATTTGTGTGCATGTGATCAATCTACTGAAGGGGGGGGGGGGATGAAGTTCAAGCTAATTCACAACCCACACCCCATTTCCCCTCTATAAATCCAACACCAAACATAGCATAACTGAAATAAATTAATTAGGAAATTACTATCCAAAAGTCAACAGAAAAATTTACTCTCAGATTCATAATGGAAAAAGACTTTTCACAGTAATTGAGCCATATGTGAAGCCCCTCATTACTTGGAAAGCACCAGTATCCTATGCATAGAATTGAAGCCTAAATGAGTTCAAATTATTAAGATGGGCTAAAAATGAACCCACAATGAGATGGACTGAACAGTTCAATTAACTCAATCAGAGACAATAGGGTTTGTTTGGTTGAACCTAATTAGTTAATTAACTGTTTATGACAGAAGGAAGAAGCTGCAAAATGCGCAACAGCAACATATAGGGTCTGTTTAGTTGAACCTAACTATAGGGACATAAACAGAGTTCTTGGTATCCCCATCTTCTTTTTTTTTTTTTTTTTGAACGACTTGGTATCCTTATCTGGTGCTCTAATAATTTATGAATATAACATCAATGATTTAGCAGCATGTTGATCGTAGCAAGGACATTATTAAAAGGCAACGCAAGCATTGAAAGAGAGAGTATAACCAAAACAATAAAATTTGAAGCATTCAATCATGAAGGAAAAAAATAGTCATGAATCACTCTAACAAGCCTTTCAGATTGGACATAGAAAATGGCAGGATCAAATTCAAATGTAAGCCCATGAACAGGACACTCATGGTGTTGTTGAAACTGCTTAAATAAATCAACCGACCCACTGATCCAGAATTGATAACAAATATATGATATCACATTCAAACAAACAACCCAAAGTACCCATCAAATAACAAATATATAGAGTCCCAAAAACATCCAAGAAAATGTTTCAGAATTGATTTTTCATTCAAACAAACAAACCAGACCTCTTATATAAAGGAGAAACACAAGGTAGTAAAAAGCAGAAGAATACCTAGATTAGAGAAGTCGGAGAAGAAGATGAAGAATAAGTATTAAAGGCTAAGATATCAAACACAAACGGATCAGAGAGCTCAACGAAGAATACCTAGATCAGAGAAGTCGGAGAAGAAGACGATGACATATAGATTTGATATTAACCAGAGAGCTCACCGAAGAATACCTAGATCAGAAACATCATAGAGCTCGATTTGGCTAAGTTCATCGGCATCAATCGGAGCATAAAGAGACGATGTGAGAGAGAGATTTGATTATGAGAGAGATCTAGGTTTTTTTTGATGAGAAATGATAAAGAGACTATGAGAGATCTGATTTGGTTTTTGAGAATTCAATGTAATCGGATTGGGCAAACAAACGGACCGGATCGGATTTATCCGAATCTGATCCGTTTTTAAATCGTGCTATGCGGATATGAGCTAAACAGATATTCGGATTTGGATTTGTGTAAATGGATCGGGTTAATCGGGTCAGATTCAGGTTATACCCGATCTGTTGACAGGCCTGGACACAAGTGCTACAAAAAATATCTGTTAACAACAAATACAACAATCTACTTGCCTAGCAACAGAAAAATGTCACTAATTGTAATTTTTATTGACAATTTATAAAAATCGTGATAAAAAAGTCACTAATTGTTAACTTTTAGCGACATATGTAAAAAATCGTCACAAAAAATTATTTTTAGCAATAATTTTATTATAACTTATGTTCAATAGGACTGATGAGAATCAATTCCAATTATTAAGACTTATTGATAGTTTACCCTAATAATACTTGTACCTCAACCTATGGGGGTATCCTCTTTATATGGAAGTGCCCTACCTTATGATCCTATAGGTTAGGTTCTTTTTCCATTTAGAACTCTACTTGCCTAGCAAGTATCCCTTATCTAGAATTCTTCTTCCTAATTGGATTGAGTTTTATCTCCTCAAGAGTCTCATTCTTACCCAACTTAGAAGTCACATCTTCATTGAGATTCCATCACCTAAGAGTCATACATTAATTAGAGTTTGACTAATGTCACAACCTCAACTAGTATTATCTTGTCATATGGCATTGCAATTCGAATTCATAATAGACAAAATGTTGGACCCACTTGATCCTACTCAAAAAATACGTTTCCACAATTTTACACCATTTATTTTAAGAATAGTTATTATGTTATCACCTCAAAAGTTAACCCGAAATGGTAAGTCCTATCGTCGACTTATGCCCAAAGTCGGTGACCGTCCCTTTAGGTCTCAAAAAATTGATTAAAAAAAAATGTCAAAATTTCGTTAATTATCTTATTATCTTATAAAAGGAAAAAATATCATTGAAATTTAAAGGGCCTCAACAAAGTTCAATTTTTTTTTGAATCAACAAATGTTAGTTGTTAGTTGTTATATTAGCATCTACGGGAGAAAATCTCTCCACTCTTAGCAAAGTACCTAAGTGCTTGCATTTTCTTAATTCAACCCCTTAAGAGGAATTGAACCCATGACCTCCAAAGTTCAAATATGGTTTAAAACTAATAAATAGTTGTTTTTTATTGGAAGAAACTAAATAACTTATTGATTGATGTGGTGAATTGTTTAAAATTATTAAATGATATTTTTCTAAATGTATGGATTATATATAGAATATTATTGATTATATTACTTGCAGTTACTCCTTTCAAATTAAAGTTGATTTAATTTTACATTTATTCAACTATGTAAAATAAAAGATTAAATAGATTACTAATTTTATCTATCGAAAATGATTTGGCTTATAAGTTGGTTTATGCGACCTAGATTAGCAAAATTTACAACTAAAAATATCAGAAGAATGATATTTAAGTGATTTTTGTTCAATTTATTTATTTTTTATTTAATACTTTAGTTTAAATTATTTCGATCATTTTTCTTATTGTAATGTTTAATGTATATTAAATTAATTTTAATAGACATATATTAAATTTAACTTTTTTACAGATACTATCAAATGAAAAAAAGAAAAAAAAAATTAAACACGTAATTTCGTTTTAAATATATATATATACATATATACATATATACATAAAAGGTCTCGTTCAAAAGCCCTGTTTGGCATAAATTAAAAAATTCAAAAAGTCAAAAAGTCATTATCCTATTTAAGTCACATCATCTCTCTATTATATCACTTCAAACTCAACCTATACCAAACCCATATTTTATAAAAAGTTAAAAAATATACTTATTTACAATATCTCAAAGCACCCCTTATTTTGAATTTCGAAAAGGTATAAGGAGATCCTGATTTCTATCAATAAAACACAAATAGAAACGACACGTCAATTTTTGAAAGGACTATAATGGATGAAAGTGACTCTAATGATGGGTTTAGAGCCACTACATTACTGATGGGTTTAGAGCCACTAAATTAGTGGTTTCTAGCATCATTATTTTCAATAGAAAATGAGTGGGAGCTCTAATTAGAGCTACCACTAATGATGTGGCAGTAGATCTCCCCCATGCCACAGTATGTATTGTGTCTATTTTTTTATTTTTTTCTTTTTGCTTTGCTACCTCATTAGTGATGGGTTTAGAGCCACTAAATTAGTGGTCTCTAGTACCACTGTTTTCAATAGGAAAATGAGTGGGAGCTCTAATTAGAGCTACCACTAATGATGTGGCAGCGGGTCTCACCCACTGCCACAGTATGTATTGTGTCTGTTTTTTTTTTTTTTTTTTTTTTTTTTTTTTTTGCTTTGCCACCTCATTAGTGATGGGTTTAGAGCCACTAAATTAGTGGTCTCTAGCACCACTGATTATTTTATTTTTTCTCTCACAAACATCACATTCAACTAAAAAAAATCTAATAATCTTTTTAAACATAAAAATTTTAACCTATTAAAATAGTCAAAAATTAAAATGACTTGCCAACTTTACAAACAAGGCCAATATTAGGTTTAAAAGTACTATATGCTACGATTTTTATTTTTATTTTTTTATTTGAGTGGAAATCGTGGGTCCTGGTAGTCTTTTCATCGGTTTGTCCTGATTCCAGCCTTGAGATATTTCAATTAAGGATAAAACCATTTATGCAGTGTATTTATTATAGTCAATTATTGGACAAAAGAATGAAAGAAAACATTTTAGCCAATGGTGAAATGGTTCAACCAAGCAATACAGGTTCAACAATGGTGGATTGGGCGCCATTACTTATTCAACGTCGTCTCAGAAATAGAGACCAAAGTTTTGTAGCGTGAGGGGGCTCCGTTTGGATTAGTTCAAACTGATGTATCGGTTGCATATTAAAATTGTTAGGAGCAGTGACGAAGTCAGAAAATTAAGTTAGAGGGGACACTTATTAATTATAATTTTTTATTTAAAAAAAATTCATAAGCAATATTAAAATAATAATAATCATTTTATAAGATAAATTTAAACATAAAAAATTACATATTCATTATTAATAAGAACAAATCAAAATTCTATAATAGTGTGAAATTGCTCATTGTGAGATGATGATGTAAGTTTGTAATTTTAGCACAAAAAATTATGGATCAAACTTCCTAATTTAAAAAAATAAAAACATATCATTTATAGTACAAATTATTATAAAATCTATTTAATTTTTATTTGACATAAAAATATTAAAGAGATGACCTTACTTATAAATGATGTGTTTTAAATGAAAATTATTAAACAGTTTTAGAGTACCATATGACGTTACCTACGTGATACTCAAAGCATAGAAAATCATAAATCATACTAAGTGGTACGTCAACTACTTAAAAATAATGAGTTCATTATATCTAATTTATAATATTTTCGCTACATTATTAATTTAAACTACTACATAAATAATGCCGCATAATGTTTCCAAAATATCAAA